TATCCTCATAGGTCGATCCAGTATGGTTCTAAACCAATACCTGTGCAAATGATTTATATCCTCATAGCACAAGAAACGGTGCTATAAATCATACTACACACTAATCTCTGACCTTGATTAGGGATAATTTTCGATTAAAATATTCAATGTTCACTTAATAGGTGTTTCTTTATCCAAGCCATTGACTTGATACCCTATTTTGAATATTTATTAAAATCGAATGGACTCATTATTTAATTCTAAACCACAATTAAATAGTTTTGTGGAATATTTAGAAATATTTTATTCCACTATGAAACTTCACAATGTTTCATCTTATGATAAATGTTTTTTCCCAAATGTTTTAAGAGTAGTACTCTTCATAAAAACATTCATAAAAATCACACTCATATTTGATGCTTGATTTCTTTCATGCAATTATGAAGTTGTCGTTCACTTATTGCATAGGTTTAGTTATAATTACTTTGCAAACCTTAGCATCTTCATTATCCACCATTTCCATAATAAGATGATAAAATTTTGAGAGTGTTAATGGATTACATGTGATTAAGGATTTATTGTCCAAGCAATGGCACCCACTCATTTTTATGATTCGAGACCTTCTACTTGACAACCTACAATCATCAACGTTCAACAACGAGCTTTTCCATTTAACATCTTTCCTTATTATTGCCTTTAAGGCAACAATATTCTCAACATATATTTTAGTAGACTCCCTGATGATGCCTTGCTTGGGTTTCACTCCAAGCGACTCACAACGATTTGGGATACCCTAATCACTTGTGAGCATGGAAATTTTCCTTAAATTCCCGCACATTATACATGGATGCACATCCATGTTACCATTCTCAAGCCACGACACTTCTTGCCTCGTGCTTATAAATGGCTTCCTTTCTAAGGATCTAATCCTTGTTAAGGTTTGTGCTTGCAACATCAAAACTCAAATTATATTTGTTTCCATGCGTCAAGAACTCATCCAACTACTTATCTAAGTTCTTTGGATGTTCTTGACTATAATCTAATGTCTAATACTTAGATTAATGTCGATTGGTATTATATACGTACTTCACATGCTCTAAGCATTTAAGTCATCTGACGATTCCATATCATAGCTTTACATGATGGATTTAATTCTAGAATTATTCTCAATTTTATTCCAT